AAAGGCTCTTCTGTCCACTTTGGGACTGAAGTCTCCTGGTCTTTCCACATAAAAACCAGCCGTATCAATACAGCAAGTGCCCCACCCCCAGCAGTTTCTGGGACTATTTGGGCTTATAAAGGGGGGTTGACAACGACACTGAGAGGTCTCTTGCCTCACCCTTGCAAATGCTCTGCTCTATTCCTCCTGTGGGTCCCACAAGTAGCCAGTGCCAGGACTGAAATTCACCAAGCTAACAAAACTTCTCCAAGAGGGAAAGTCTTAAAAAGTAATCTTGTTCTTTCAAACATGACATTTTTTTTAAAGAATCTCGCTCTTTAAAAAAGAGATACAAAGTAACTTCTCAACTCACCAACAATAAAATAAATACAAGTGATAGAGAAAATTTCTTAAAGCTAACATGGAGATTGCCATTCGCCAATTCATTCATTTACTCAATTAATGTGGCAATTTGCCATGAATGGTAGTCAGAGCAAATAATGTGGCAGCGAACAGAGAAGAGTTGGGTCCCTGTCTTTACAGAGCCTCCTGTTCAGTAGTAATGTAATGTTAGTAATATAGAAATAATTGCTTTAATGTTGCTAATAAGCCAATCACCTCAAAGCCTTTTAGAAAGTAAGCCTGATAGGAACTAATGAAAATGAAACTTACTGATCATGTATCACAGGAGGGAAGAATGTGAATCTATGGAGAGAAAATAATTCAAAAGAACCTATTTTGGTCTTTGGCATACCAGTCTATTTCACAGAAAGCAAACTGTGTTTCACTGCCTAGGAGGTCACACAGAGCTGCATATTCATTTTTATTCATTTTTATGAAGAAAAGCAAATGAATAGACATTGTGGATGCTTAGACAGTTTTCCTTAGATTATTTCCCCTTTCCCCCCAAAGTTCCACCTCATCTACACCTGCTTTAATAGCTTCATCTTTGTGGAAGTAAAATATCTTAAGTAAGGACTATGAGTCATCAACAAAATTATAAATTACAAATGCACACTTAATTTTATCACATTAGAAGAAAGTCTTCCAATGGTGCCTGGGTGACTCAGTCGGTTGGGCATCCGACTCTTGATTTTGGCTCAGATCGTGATCCCAGGGTCATGAGATCAAGCCCTGCCTTGGGCTCTGTGCTGGGCATGGAGGCTGCTTGAGATTCTCTCTCTCCAACCGAGCCCCCTGTTGGGCTCCATGCTCAGCAAGTAGTCTGCTTAAAGACTCTCTCTTCCTCTCCTTGTGCCCCTCCCCTTCTCTCTTCCTCTGAAGGAGAAGAAGAAAGAAGAAGAAGAAGAAGAAAAGAAGGAAGAAGAAGAAGAAGAAGAAAGTCTTCCATTGTAGAAGGCTATTTGATCAAGAATCTCTGTCCAGATTTTAGTCCTGAAGGTACCCCGGTCTCCAGTTATCCTGACATTACAGACTGGGTTCAAGTTCCTACTCTACACACCTTACTACCTGTGTGACTTTGCTTTCCTCATCTCTCAAATAGAGGTAATAGTTATGTGGTGGTGATACAACATGACTAAGGGAAATATGCCCGTAAAATGCTTACAACAATGCTTTGCACATAGTAAGTACTTGATAAATAGCCATTGTTATAATATCCAAATTTCAGTGAAGAATTTCATTAATATATTCATTAGAGGGATCTGAAATCAAAGATGAGTCAGATTTTAAGAGAGCATCTAGCTTCTCTAAAGAAGCTTTAATCTCCTGGCTTGGCCAAACTACATTGTAGGATATGGAAAGAATTTAGCAAATGAGATCACTGGGCCAACAGTGGGTATCTTTAAGGAATCTTAGCAAATGAGAGGAAGTGGTTAAATGAAAGAAAGTCCTAATTTTCAAAATAACAGAGAATGCAAGTTCTGCAAACTACAGAACTGTTGACCACAACAACACTCTAGAATAGACCATTAAAATATATGGTCACTTAAAGAATGCTACAGGGCTGCCATTAGCAATGAGTTAGTCTAAACCATTTCCTTGCTCTCACAGCAGACTAATAAATCTAGAAAATATGAGAGATACAGTATAGCAAGAAAAAGGCCTTTGGCAGTAGGCTTATACTATCCTTTGGACAAGAAGAAATACAGATTGAGTGATAATACAAACAGATTCATTGTTAAATGATTGCCAAATGCTACTTTTAAGGGATACATTTTTTTTAATCCAGAAGGAAGTATCTAGTGACCAGTCCCAGGGCTTTATGTAAATCCTACTCAGGTAAACCCAATTTACTTAGATTAAGACCTGAAGCAACCTTCAAAGAACATCAGTTCCCTAGGAGAAGGAATTTGTCGGCTGGTCCCCTGCTCCATCCCTGGCTCTTAGAACAGGACCTGGTGTCCCGTGAAAGTTCATTAAATACTTGTTGAATTAATAAAAAATGTGTAAATAATGTAAAGTTGAGAGAATGAATAAATACTCTGAATAACTTAATCAGAATCCAAAAGGTCTTCACAGAACAGAATAATGGGTCAAATGAAACCCAGGTAATTTCCCAGAGTGAGGAAAGGCTAGCCTTGAGAGTCAGGGGGACTCTGTTTTCAATCTTGATTCTGCCACTTGTCAAGGAGGGAAAGAGTTTGTGGGCAGAGAATTGAGGCGAAGTTTCCAGAGGAAAAAAAAGTAAGATCCTCCACGTAAGTCCAAAATTGATCAAGTACTTAGAGAAGATGTGGTTTTTAGCTGGGGGAGGGGGGATGTAACTGGAGAAATTCCAACTACAAAAATATAGTTCGGAATAATCAAACATGAGTTTCTATCTGGGCCACATTTGAGAGTAAAAGGAGACACTGTTAATTATGCGAGGACAACAGGTGAAAAGTGGTGTTGCCCTCGGCAAACCAGGACACATGATTACACTATGTATGGGACACACCAAAAGCTCTAGACATTTGAGTTGATGAAAAGTTAAGTGGATCAACAATTTGCTGTAACTGGTTTAGAAATATATTCGTTCACTAAGTGCTTACCATATGCCTGGCACTGTTCTAAATCCATTACATGTATTAGCTCATTGGATACTCACGAAAGTATTCTAAAGTCTTATTATCCTACATACCATGAAAAAACTGAGGCACAGAGAGTTTAAATAACTTGCCCAAAGTTAACTACTCAGCTTACTTCAAGGCTTACACTAACTGAACAGATAGACTCCAAAACCAGTCGCCCCTGAGTCTGTGCATTTAACCATTACAACATACAGCCTCGGGCTGCAATGAAATGCACTGAATTGCATTCTGCTAACCAGGCAAAGAATAGTCCTGCTTGCTTCTGTTTCAATCAGAGTTACAGCTAGAAACATGGTTTTGATTCGAGGTCCATACCAACTAGGCACGCTAGGGTGTATTAAGGAAGGCAAGGACATGTGAGACCATAATACCCAGGGATGAGCAAAAGGATCTGTTCAGCTTAGAGAAGAGACTTGGTGTGGCATGAGAACAGCTCAACTACATGGATGGCCATGGGGAGGAAAAGTCAGACTCTATTCAGCAGCTTTCAGACTTTTTTTTAATCATTGAGATTCAGTTCACCTCTGTAGTTAATTATATGATTAAATAACTTAATTATGTAATCGAGACAAAGGTTTCATGAAAACCTTACTACTTATGATACATTCTGATATTTTCTATTCTATTCTATTTCCGTTCTACTCTATTTCTTCTTCTTCTCTCTCTTTTTTTTAAGATTTTATTTATTTATTTGACAGAGAGAGACACAGGGAGAGAGGGAACACAAGCAGGGGGAGTGGGAGAGGGAGAAGCAGGCTTCCCACTGAGCAGGGAGCCCAATACGGGGCTCGATCCCAGGACCCTGGGATAATGACCTGAGCCGAAGTCAGATGCTTAATGACTGAGCCACCCAGGCACCCCTTTCTTAATCTCTTTTAATGCTGGTCATGTCCAAATAAAATTATTCCACAACCCCCGGATTTCAGCCTAAAATTTGAAAAATACTGCTCTATATGCTTCCAAAAAGAGAAACTAAAAAGTGACAGATAGATGTTACAGAAAAGTACATTCCAAGTCAACAAAACAATAACTACGTAACTGTCAGGGCTGTTCAAAGTTGCAATGGGCTACTTCGGAACAGAGGGAGTTCCCTCTCACTGTAGGTAATGTAGGTATCTATCCCATAATAGACTGTGGGTAGAATAGAAAAGATTCAAATATTAGTTAAACGGCTGAAATAGAAGAACACGAAGTTTTCTTTCCAAACCCAAGATCTCATTATTCTAAATCACATTTTTGTAATAAAAATAATACTTTCCCTTCAACAGTATCCATTTTCCAAAATATTTAGGTATGTTCCAACCTACCAAGACATAAGGAAAGAAGGAAGATTGGAAGGAAGAAAAGGAAAGAAGGAGGTAAGGAGGAATGGGAGAAAAGAAAAAAGGGAACAAAGAGAGTGAAAGAAAGAAAACCATGTAGAACTTAAGTGTTTCCTACATAAATTAAAGAAGTTTCCTTCAAAATGAATTCTAAGCCCCTACTTCCCCAATTCCAACAAAAATGTAAATTGGGTTCATCCAGAGTACAAGATTCCTGAGTACCCTGCATGAGAAAAAGAAATTAAAAAGACATCTGAAAATCACTCCAGGCTCTATAATGAGCTCTGATGGTTTTCTTTTAGATCATTCTGGATGATCAGATCAGAACAGAGGAGCTGAGACTGACTCAGGACTTGATGTGTGAAATAGCTTTCCACAGGATTTGGCCAATCCTTTTTGACAAGTATACACATCGCAACAATCTTCAAAGGCAACTTATGGAAGAGCCTCCTAACTCCTTTTGAAGATACTGCCAAGAAAAGCAAGAGAGAAAGTATTAAGAGAAATCTAAATAAGGACAAAATGAGTGAAAGAAGGATACCAACGTGAAGCCCAATGGATACAACTAATAAAAATTAAACATTCTACTAGACTACTGACCAACCATTCAACTCATAATTTCTGTGGACTTGTTATGAGCACATAGTGCTCTCTTGCCACCAGATACCTTGTTTCATCTTCAAAGCCATTGTCCATAATCCAAGGCTAACACCACTGGCACAGAGCTAGGGGTTGTTCTCTGAGTAAGACAGATGTCTTGGTGGTGATCTTGCCAGGGCTCCCTAAAAGAAATAAGAAAGCCCAAATTGGGGTAAATGATCCATCCAATACTGCCAGGAGTTCTCTGGATGCTTTTTGCCAAACTCAATTTCCTTACAAGGTTTCAGAGCAAAAGAGTACATGGACTAGAACAGCCACAATCCAACCACAGCTGGCTGTGTTTGGTATACAAGGAGATGGCTACTCGTGAATTAAACAAATAAGATTAAATCAAAGGGTAACCTCAACTGTAAACTCCTTCTGACAAAATGAGTAATTCAGTATTTATCTTCAATTAATACTATGGGTACATATATTATCAACATGTAATAGAGTGTCTTCGGAATTTACACACTCAATAAATTAAGTGTTTTAAAAATGAAGTGGAAAGTTAGAAGCTTTTTGTTAAGACCATCTGGACATCTTAGAATTCTGAATCCTGAGTTGGATCCACTCCCACGTTGCTATAAACTATGCTATAAACTCTCAAATCAGGAATAGAGTCCTTTGTAGAAAGATGAGTCCAGGAAATAAACTGAAACCAGACTTCAAATTGGCAAGCCAGTGAAGACAGAGACTTGGAAACAGAAGAAAAAGAATAGTGGTTGACATAATTCAGGTAGGTTGGAATTCAAACATGCTGGGACCTTGGCAACACAGGCCAGCTGGAGCAAGATGAAGCCAAAACCAGGCCAGGCACAGTCTAGGGAAACACATACAAGCTCCAGAGGTTTGTCACCAGGTGGACACTTGTGAAACCAATGTATCATGTCCAAAGACACAGCAAATTCCCTCTTGATTCAGAAAGACACTGTGAACAGGAGGATGAACTGAAGGACAGGGCATGGCCATGGAGGTATAGACTCGCAGTCATAGCAAAACTTCTATTTCCAGTAATATTGTGATCTAAGTACACAAAAAAATCTAGAATTGTTGGATAAAACAAAACAAAGATTCTAAATGCACAAGGAAGTCTAAAGTCTCAAGGAAGTAAGGTAAATTATAGAACCGAGCAAGGGAAGAACATAAATATAGATATATTACACTGACTGTCCAGAGACTATTTGTTGATGCTGATAAGCAATGAGTTTGGGGTTTTATAGCCATATAGAAATAGATGATAAAGCCTTAGGTTTGCTTAATGTGAAGAAGTGGAACAGAGCCCCTCCCTGCCCCCCATAAGCTCTCAAAGGGCTGCTTTCTCAATAAAAAGAGATGACAAGGAACCTCTCTATCTCAGCATAGACTCTCCAGCATTCCCAAACACAAGGTTCAAATTTATTTACCTAACCAAGGCAGGAGGAAGAAACATTTTCAAACTCATTTTATGAGGCCAGCACTACCCTGATACCAAAGAAAGACAAGGACACTACAAGAAAAAAAAATTACAGGCCAATAACCCTGATGAACATAGATGTGAATATTCATAACAAAATACTAGCAAATTGAATTCAAGAGCACATTAAAAGGGTCATGCACCGTGATCAAGTGGGATTTATCCCTGGAATGTATGAATGCTTCAACATACATAGATCAATGTGATACACCACATTAACAGAATAAAGAATAAAAATTAGGGGCATCTGGGTGGCTCAGTCAGTTAAGCATCTGCCTTCGGGGTCCTGGGATTGAGCCCCACATCGGGCTCTCTGCTTAGTAGGGAGCCTGCTTCTCCCTCTCCCTCTGCCTGCCACTCTGCCTACTTGTGCTCTCTATCAAATAAATAAATAGAATCTTAATAAATAATAATAAAAATTATGTGATCATCTCAACAGATGCAGAAAGGCATTTGACAAAATTCAACATCCTTTCATGATGGATGAACAAATTAGGTATAGAAGAATACATCTCAACAAATTAGGTATAGAAGAATACATCTCAACAAATTAGGTATAGAAGAATACATCTCAACAAAATAAAGTCCACATATGACAAATCCACAGCTAACATCATACTCAGTGGTGAAGTTAAAAGCCTTTCCTCTAAGATCAGAAAGAAGACAAGCTTGCCCACTCTCACCACTTCTATTCAACATAGCTCTGCAAATTCTAGCCACAGCAATTAAGCAAGAAAAAGAAATAAAAGACATCCACATTAGAAATGAAGAAGTAAAATTATCTCTGTTTGCAGATGACATAATGTTATATGTAAAAAACCCTAAAGACTCCACCAAAAAAAAAAAAAAAATCTGTTAGAACTAAAAAATGAATTCAGTAAAGCTGCAGGATCAACATACAAAATCAACATACAAAAGCCATTTGCATTTCTATACACTGACAACAAGGTATCTGAATAAAATTAAGAAAGCAACCTCATTTAAAATAGCATCAAAAACAATAAAATACTTAGGAATAAATTTATTTATTTATTTTTAAGTAGGCTCCATGCCCAGCATGGAGCCCAATGTAGGGCTTGAACTCACAACCCTGAGATCAAGATCTGAGCTGAAATCAATACTCAAATACTGAACTGACTGAGCCACCCAGGCGCCCCTACTTAGGAATAAATTTAACCAAAAAGGTGAAAGACCTGTACACTGTAAACTATAAGACATTGATTAAAGAAATTGAAGAAAACACAAATAAATGGATACTCTGTGTTCTTGCATTGGAAAAATTAATATTGTTAAAATGTCCATACTACCCAAAGTGGTCTACAAATTCAATGCAATCCCTATCAAAATTCCAAAACATGTTGCACAGAAATAGAAAAAACTATTCCTAAAATTTACATGAAACCACAAAGACTCTGAATAACCAAAGCAATCTTGTGAAAGAAGAATAAAGCTGGAGGCATCACACTTCTTGATTTTAATCTAAATTACAAAGCTATAGTAATCCAAAGAGTATGGTATTGGTACAGAGACCAATGGAACAGAATAAAAATTCTTAGAAATTAGCGTATGTATATACAGTCAAGTAATCTTTGCCAAGGGCACCAAAACACACAAATGGGAAGGACAGTCTCTTCAACAAATGGTGTTGGGAAAACTAGACAGCCACATGAAACGGGATCACTATCTTACTCTACTCATAAAAGTTAATTTGAGATGGATTCAAGACTTAAATGTAAACCTGAAACCATTAAACCCCTAAAAGAAAACATAGGGGAAAAACTCCTTGACATTGGCCTTAGCAATGATCTTCTTGGATAAGACACCAAAAGAACAGGCAACAAAAGCTAAAATAAATAAGTGGAACTACAACAAACTAAAAGCCTTCTGTACAGCAAAAACAACAATCAATAAATTAAAAAGGTACCTACAGGATGGAAGAAATTATTCACAAACTATATACCTGACAAAGAGTTAATATCCAAAATATATAAAGAATGTATAGAATTCTATAGCATAAAAGCATATAATCCAACTTAATAATGGACAAAAGATCTGAAGAGACATTTTTCCAAAGACGAACAAATGACTAATAAGTACATGAAAAGGTGTTCAACATCACTAATCATCAGGGAGATGCAAATCAAACCCACATTAAAATACGACCTCACACCTATTAAGATAGCTATTCTCAAAAAGACAAAAGACAACAAATGTTGATAAGGATGGGGAGAAAAGGGAATCCTTTTGCACTGTTGGTGGAAATGTTAACTGGTGTATCCATTATGGGAATGTATTGGTGGGAATGCAAACTGGTACAGCCATTACAGAAAACAGTATAGCAATTCCTCAAGAAATTAAAAATAGAACTACCACATGATCCAGCAATCCCATTCCTGGATATATATCAAAACAAACAAGCAGACAAACCCCAAAATCAGTATCTTGAAGAGCTATCTGCACTCCCAGGTTCACTGCAGCATTATTTACAATAGCCAAGATAAGGAAACAACTTAATGTCCATCAATAGATAAATGGATAAAAAAAACATGGAGTATATATTCAATGGTATATTATTCAGCCATTAAAAAAAGGAAATCCTGCCATTTGCCAACAATATGAATGGAACTTGAGGGCATCATGCTAAGTGAAATAAGCCAAAGACCAACACTGTATGGTATTACTTATATGTGGAATCTTTTTAAAAAAAGAAAAGAAAGGAAAGAAAAACCTGGTTTCATAGAAATAGAATAAACTGGTAGTTACCAAGGATGGGGGTAGGGGTAACTGGGAAGATGTAGGTCAAAGGGCACAAACTTTTAGTTATAAGATGAATAAGTTCTGAGGATCTAATGTACGGCATGGTTACCGTAGTTAATAATATAGTATTGTTATATGTTATTTGCATACTTATATTCTTGAAAGTTGCTGAAAGTAGGCCTTAAGTATTCTTGCCACAAAAACAAACAAATAAACAAAACCCCAGAGTTAACTATGTTAGTTGATGAAAGTGTTAGTTACCTTGATCTTGGTAATCATTCCACAATGCATATGTATATAAAATCATCACATTTTACACTTTAAATATATACAATTATATTTGTCAATTATTCCTCAATGAAGTTGGGGGGAAAATCCAAAAGCAAATAACAAAAATAATCAAATTGGCTTTGTTGATACTCTGTATTTAAAAAGGTTTTCTGGGCGCCTGGGTGGCTCAGTTGGTTAAGCGACTGCCTTCAGCTCAGGTCATGATCCCAGGGTCCTGGGATCGAGTCCCGCATCGGGCTCCCTG